ACAAAACATCTCCCTCCATTTCACGTAATCGGCCGAGAAGCCTACCAAGCTTCAAAACATCTTCTTCGGCCACTGTACGGTGGATCTCACACGTCGACCACCAGTCCAGTGATTATCCTACTCCAACTGGTGACCCCGACCACGATCAAAGGAGGGCCAACGAGAAAACTCTCCTCCCCGGTTATTTTCCACTCTCTTTTTTCTCTTCCCCACGCAGCCATGAGGCTTAGAAAAACAAGCCTCAATGCCAGCCATTGATCCTTGGTTACCCCTTACTCCCTCACGGTCGGCATCACTCAACTGGTGAAGGCCTAAAAGATGTGAAAAGCCCCCAACCTTTGCTCATTACTTACAAAACCAAGCCCCGAAAACGAAGCTTCAAACGTTGACCTCTCGGTCGAAACTCCCAAACCTTTGACAACCACCAAAAATCGGCGTTGCTTGAATATAAGTCGGTCTCTCTCGCACGTCGTCCACCGCTCAACGATGTTCACTCCCTATACTACGAACAGGCTGCCAAGAAAGAAAGCAAAATGGAACCTAAAATCATGTTACCTTTATTTTTTTTCAATGGGTCCGTAACATAGCAGGTTGGGGTTATTATAACCCCAATAATACAATATTTTATTATTTTTATAATAATAAATAATAAAAAATGATTACAGAACGAGAATAAAGGTTTGACAATAAACAATCAATTATTTAACTATAATCACTGGTATTCAAACATCTAACTTCTAAAAAAATAATAATAAATTTTAATTATTAAAATAAGTTGATTGACTCCTATATTAGATATTTTTAAAACATTCTTGTTTTTATATTATGAATGTGAGGAAGGAGAAGGCAAAGGGACAAAAATCACTGAATAAAAACATGTGTAAGTAACCGCACGTGCACTCAATCATCATCTAACTTTACCCCACAGTCACACTCTTCTTTATTTTATTTATTTTTGCCATTTTTTGTCTATGGTAAAATAATTGTTCAATTTTTTATGTTTTAGATATTTAATTTAATTTTATAATTATTTTACGATGTCTATCTGTATTTCAATTAAAATAGTTATTTAATGAATATATAACACATAATTTATTTTTAGTTAATAGTTATTTAAAGATTTTAACCCCAGCCACTGCTTACCATTTTGCCCGGCGTCCCCAACTTATTACTGTTCATCATCCTAAACCCTGAAACTATTAATATTTGAAAGATTATTTATTTCCGTCCACATTACAAATATTGTTTTTAATGTTTTTTTTCATTTCGAGCTTTTATGAGTTTGATTTTATAGTTTCGAGTTCGAGTCGAGCTTGAAAATTTTAATATCGCTAGTTTTCGAGTCGAACACCATTTTAAAATTTTCGGATCAAATCGAACTCAACAATACTCAAAATCGACTCGGACGGTTTACAGTAGTCACTTAGTAAATTAATTAATGGCAAAGCAGAATTTCATATTCATTCCATGTTTCCATGAAAAAGTTCCATCTTAGCTGCACGCACCTCCGAACGACGCTACTCACACTGCCACCAAAATGACATTATTTTGGGTAAATTTGTACTTAGTCACTTAACTATTTATATGGTTATATTTTAATCGCTCAACTTTTTCTAAATTATATTAATCATTGCGTTTTAATTTTATTTTGGCCATCCGTCGTTAAAAATTAATGATGACGTTGGCGTGTCATTATAAAGTAATGGTGAATAATTATTTTATTTAACAAGTGACAAAAATGAAACGAAAATGTAACATTAGATATGTTTTTTAAAAAAATAATTAGGTGACCAAAGCAAAACTACATGAATAGTTGAATGACTAAAAATGTAGTTTAACAACAAAACCAAAATCCATTTTTTTATCAAAATTATATGAATATTTTGAATGCAGACATTTTCCCCTAACTCAAGGATTAAAGTTGCTATCAAATGCCCTAATAATGAAACTTTATCAAAATATAAGAACATATTTTCCCTTAAATTTCGGCAAATTTAGCATATCCAGGGCAATGGTCGGATTTGTTGTCCCATACCTATTCATATTCCAATTTCCAATCAATTCGGGGGGGGGGGCATTAAGATCTTCCATGCAAACAAAAATGTATACATTGAAAGGTTTTGTATTAGCAAAATTCCAATCCCACAATCTTTCTTTAGAGAATTTGATGTGATTAGTGTAGCTAAGTAAGTCGTCTAAATGCATACCTCCAAAATATACACGCTTTATTTTTTTCCTAAATTAATCATTAATATTCGATTAATTAATTAAATATATTTTATTTTTTAAAAAAATTTCTTTGATTATATAAATCAAATAATGATATATTATTAAAAATAAATTTAATTTTATAATTGAAATTTAATATCTAATTTGTTAATAATGTATAAAAATACAGACATTTTTATATATCAAGTTTATTTTTCTTCCAACAATATTATACTTCGAAAATATTATCAAAATTGACCACTAATAGCCACAGATGTTTACTGAAGGTAATGAAAAGATTGTTTGAATGATAAATAATAATTAGTAAGGTCAGTTCATAGTAATAGTAAAACTAATCAAACTTACCTAAGAAATGACTTAAATTCTTGAAAATGAATTTCGGGATTTTCTTGTACTCCAATTTAACTTCAAGACAAATGCTTTGTTTCCGATTTTATTTTAATAATTAAACTGCTTTAAATTTTAGGGTAAAGTGCACAAATGGTCTTTTAACTATAGAATATTATTTTGTTGAGTCTTTCGATTATTAAAAATTATAAAATGATCCCCTAACTATTGAGAGTTGTTTTGTTGAGCCTCTCGACTATTAAAAGCTATAAAATAGTCACCCAATTGTTTAATGTTTCAAACTAGTCCTTTTTCATTAAAAAAATTAACGACACTCTGAGTTGGACGTTAACATGCTGGTTGAGATATGATAAAATTTAATCTCATAACCTTAAAAGGCTATCATATCTCAATCAGCATATTAACGTCCAGCTTAAACTATCGTTTATATTTTTAACTAAAAAGAATGAGTTTGAAACATAATGAAAAGTTAGTGACAATTTTTTAACTTTTAATAGTTGAGAGACTTAGTAAAACAATTTAAGAGCTCATCTTATAACTTTTAATAGTCAGGAGACTCATCAAGATAATATCTTATAACCATGAAATCATCTATATGCTTTACCCTAAATTTTATTTGACATGCTAAGAGATGTCCAACTACTAAGATATGTAATGCTCTTTTGTCGTACCAAGTTTAATAATCTTTGTAAATGGAAAATACTTTAAACACTTCTTAAAAATATATTTAAAATTATTAATAATTAGATTTAAAAATCAAATATTTTTCTACATTTAAACCTTTTCTCATAATGGCATAGCACTTTGAGGGTTGGATTGATCCCCAATTTTTTAAAATATATAATAAAAATATAGAAACAAATTGTAAATATTAATATTTGATAATCAAATAATTGTATATAAAATCTAAATTATTTAAATCTTTTTAGAGTGATAGAGTTCTAATCTTATTTTTTTAGTTTAATTATTTTCTAAATGAACTTTAGTATGTTGAAAGTAAATAAACTAAGTTTCGACCCCTTACGTATTTCTAAAATATAATCGCTTTTTAAGTTTTTAATAGTTTTAAAACTAGACAAATTCAGTTTTATCATATTTTTGTTTGTTTGTTTATTTGACCACTGTGAATTTGAGAAAGGAATTATGATTTATCATATTTTTTGAATTAATTGATCTATTGATCAACTAATATAGATCAGGTACTGCATAGATAAGGATGACTCCCCTAACTTATTTTACTATGAATTTTAAGTTTAATACTATAACAATAAACTTCCGTATTTTACATTTTTTTCAATTTAATACTTAAATTTAAAAATATTTCTTAAATCGATGTATTTCTGACATGATATTTCATCAATCATTTTAGAGTATGAGGTACGAAACGGATTAATATCAAATATAGAAGCCACATTCATTATTATATATCAACTTTGATGAGTTGCTGAAATGCATTAATATCATATATCAATTTCATATATATTTCAACTTCATGTGCCAAAGTGGTTTAAGAGAATTGGATATCAAAGTTTAAAAATTACCAAAATCGGTGTTCAATTAATATACTAAACCTGAATTTCAGGGAAAAAATGTTGCCCCACTAACTCTACTTCAATTCTAAAACAATGTATGGATGAAATACTTGTCCGAAATTTGAATGAAAATCATGTTAAGGTACCTCTATTTGAAGATCCTTATGAAAGAAAAGTCCAAAAAGTACAGTGCGCACAGTATTAATAAAAAGATAGCGAAAGAATTCAACTCCTCCGTTGAATTCATCTAGTCGTGAATAATATTAAAACAACTAACACGACAAGAATCGGGTACGGTTGTTGAATATTTTTTTATTGAAAATCTAATTTTATTCTTTTGAAATTTTATTGGTTCGTCTGCTCTTAAAATTTTATATGTTAGTCTAGTCCCTTAATATATAATTTTACTTTGAAAATCAATATGAAACATAGAAGAAAAGAGTCCAAATTCCAAATAGTATATAGTTTTCCAGGAATTACACACCGGCAGTCAAGGCTTGAAACTAGAACTTAGAATGGAACCAAACCCCCTCTCTTCACTTATTCACATGGTAACCAAGAGGGTGTCTTTTAGCAGGTTTTATTGTATATCCATGAACAGATGTTGTTGACAGACATGTTAAGCACTGGGGCTTTGGAACTGAGCTTTATACATACATACATACATATGTACTTTTAGGTCCAATGGGGTGCTATGCATGTGTTTCTTTCCCTCTTCACACATTTTCCTACCCTTGCCCTCTTCACGGTTTAGTCCAGAGGGTTAGCTGCTTAGAGGGAAGATTTAAAAAATGTTTAAAAATGCTTAGGGGTAGGGCCCCTTCCTAATGGAGCTGCATGGTTCGGCCTATGTCTTTTATATGCGTGCACCCTTTTTCCTATTTAGACTTAATGAGGAAGAAGTACCCCATAACCCATTTGCAGAAGAGCTTCTCGGAAGAAAACAATTGCTCTTTTCATGGTGATTTTGTGGTGGTTCTTTGTTTTGGTCGTCTCCATCTGCACTGCTTTGTTGAGATGGAACGAGTTGAGATACAGCAAGAAAGGGTTGCCTCCTGGCACCATGGGTTGGCCAATCTTTGGCGAAACTACCGACTTTCTCAAGCAAGGTCCCAACTTTATGAAAAACCAAAGATCAAGGTCGTTACTCTTTAACTTATTCCTTTCTGCAATGGCTGCCAAAGCTAGTTGATGTTCTGATTTTGTGTTCTTTGCTTATCTTTTACAAACAGGTATGGCAGTTTCTTCAAATCCCATATACTGGGGTGTCCTACGGCCGTTTCCATGGATCCAGAGCTCAATAGATATATACTAATGAATGAAGCCAAAGGCCTTGTTCCTGGTTACCCACAGTCCATGCTTGATATCTTGGGGAAATGCAACATTGCAGCCGTCCATGGCTCCACGCATAAGCTGATGAGAGGAGCCTTACTTGCCCTCATTAACCCCACCATGATCAGAGAACAACTCTTGCCTAAAACAGATGAATTCATGACAACTTTCCTCACTGATTGGGACAACAAAGTCATTGACATCCAAGAAAAGACCAAAGAGGTTTGCATCATATTCAAATTCATACAAATTTCAGGTCTTGTTGCTCATAGTTCCTCTGTTTCTAATCTGATATTTTGTTGTAGATGGCATTTTTTCATCACTTAAGAAAATTGCCACTCCTGAATCCACTTCAGTAGCTCAAGAATTCATGCCTGAGTTCTTTAAATTGGTGTTGGGGACCTTATCGCTTCCTATCGATCTTCCCGGTACAAATTATCGACGTGGACTTGAGGTGAAATCGACAAGCCTTTCAACTCTTATATGTAGTCCCTCATTGGAGTTTATAGTCTAACTAGATTGATATGTTTCACCATGATTTGCAGGCAAGGAAAATAATTCTAAGAATACTAGAACAGCTGATTGAAGAGAGAAGAGATTCCGAAGAAACCCACAAGGACATGCTTGGGTACTTGATGACAAAAGATACTAGTCATAGACACGAACTTAGTGATGCCGAGATCATTGATCAAATAATCACGATTTTGTATTCCGGTTACGAAACTGTTTCGACTACATCGATGATGGCCGTCAAGTATCTCCACGATCATCCAAGAGTTCTTGAAGAGCTGAGAGTAAGTAACAAAGAGAAAGTGATATCATCTTTTTCTTCAACTTTGAACTATTTCTTCATATCTTTGTTCGGAGCCTTTCTGGGTTTTTTGACTTGTTATTGAAATGTTTCAGAAAGAACATATGGCAATTAGAGAAAGAAAAAGAGCAGAGGATCCAATTGAATGGAATGATCTTAAGCCAATGAAGTTCACCAGAGCTGTAAGATATTTGTATTCTTTTTTCAAACAAAACATTTATTTCTAATCATTAAAATTTGTAAAGCGAACTTGCTGTGCTTCTTCTGTGTATGCAGGTGATTTTTGAGACTTCAAGATTAGCTACCATTGTTAATGGAGTTTTGAGGAAAACTACTGAAGAAATGGAACTAAATGGTGAGCATTAGAATATTTTAGAAGTGTGGGATCCATGTATTCATATAATTCCATTAGCATAATGATAAAATTACCCTCAATTTTTGCATAAATAATTATATTCTCTCAAATCCTTTTTTCTTGAATATTTTAGTACTTAAAATTTCAAGTTTTTGATCAAAATAATTATTGTTGGAAGGATATCATTATTTAACTAATAGTCATCACATTTTATTGAAATGACATTTTCACATGTATTTAATTATTGACATAAAACAAAACACATCATCATTATGAGTAATGCGATAAACTAATAGTTAACACATGTTGCTAACATGTCATTTTGTCATATTCTTAATTGTTGATGTGGTACATGTTACATCATCACTTTGAGTGATTCGATACAGGTCACGTCAACAATTAAGAAAATGATAAAATATCACGTTTGCAACATATGTTGATTATTAATCAATTAAAAATTTCCTTTCGACATTAAATGTTTTGCAAAAAATTAAAATTTAAAGATTAAAATGCTCTAAAAAACTAAAATATTTATTTTTACAAACGTTAGGTTATTTTATTATTATGCCACCTACCTTTATATTTAAGCTTTATGGGTTCAAGAATCTGACTTTGCACTTTGTGGACATGAAATGGTCTTCTCTATGTGGAGGTTAGCTCTATCATGATTTAACCGGAATGCCTACCGATCCAGCTAGGAAATCCCCTTGATCTTATTTTCAATGATTTTTTATAAAAGGAAAGAAGCTTTTTTTTTTCAAAAGAAAATCATTTTATTCAGCAAATGATTGGATTTTCATAGGCCGAAAGATAGGTTGGTGGGCCTTTTTCACCTTCTACTTCAATAATATTGAAACAACTTGATCTTCAATATTCATTTTTTTGTTATTTTTTTTCCAGGATTTGTGATTCCTAGAGGGTGGAGAATTTACGTATATACAAGAGAGAGAAACTATGATCCTTTTACATATCCTGATCCATTAGTCTTCAATCCCTGGAGATGGATGGTTAGCAATAATCAATAATTCCCTTGTTTATTTTTCTCCATGAAAGAATCTGTAATGATCGGTGGAATATCCAGGACAAGAGCTTGGAATCTCAAAGCAATTTCCTGATATTCGGTGGAGGGACCAGGCAGTGTCCAGGAAAGGAACTAGGAATTGCAGAGATTTCCACATTTCTTCATTATTTTGTAACTAGATACAGGTGGGTGTTCAATATACAAAAATAAAGAAAAATAGATTAAATTAATGGGATTTTTGTTTGAGTGCAGGTGGGAAGAAGTAGGGGTAGAAAAACTGATAAAATTTCCGAGAGTTGAAGCACCAAATGGACTGCATATTAGGGTTTCATCATACTGACAAAAAACAGTTGTATGTATGTATGTACAGAAGAGACAGCAAATGTTTTGAGCAGGAGTAGAGTTTTGCCTCACTTCACTGGGGCTATTTATTAGTTATGCCTGGTCGGACATGTTAGAGATGATTTGCCCGTTGGGGTTTGGTGGTTAAGGGTATAAACGACTTATTGAATTTCAATGTTAGACATGCTTTTATACATTAAGCATAGTCACAACGAAAAAGATCGATATAAATACCTCCTGCCATTGTCTACACCTTAAATTGAAATCCAAAATTTGACTGCACCACCTTCAAATACGTTGGACCACCGTCGACCACCATGAACCACCACAAACCATCGTCGAGCACTTCAAACTTGGCTGCACAATAGTTAGAACTGCCAAGGATCTTCTAAGCACTCAAAACCTCACTAGATGGTATATCGCTTTCCAAATCTCTGAATATGGAAATGCTTTAGAATGACTTGATTTTTAATGCTTAGAGACCTTGGCAACAGGGATATTTATAGGTGTAGTTTCCCATCAAAAACCACCTAAAACTGTTGGAAATGTCTCTAGTGGCTACAACTTATCCTAGTTTTTAAGAGTTTGTTATGCATTTTACTTAATCAAGTTTAGTTGTTGTTTTTTAGCTAAGTAGTTTCCATGTTTTATGTTAGTGGCAGTACATGAAAACATGGGTAGAAGTTTCAGCTTATTAGTTATTTGTGATGTATTTAAGCAGGTTTTTACTTGAATGAAAATTATGTCTTTCATCTCTTTTTGTTTGTACTACAAATTGGTACCAGAGTGAATCTTCTTAAGGGACCTGTGTGAGAATTGAGAGACTACCATCAAACCAAACTTCACAAAATGCAATCTAAAATTTCTTTTTCAGCTGTAGCACCTCCAATGTTTGAAGGTGAAAACTACAAAGTTTGGGCAATTAGAATGAAGTTCTATTTGGAAACAAACGACCTTTGTGAAGCTGTTGAGGAGGATTATGAAATTACTCCTCTTCCAGCAAATCCAACGGTTGCTCAAATAAAAAACCACAAGGAGAAGAGGCAAAGAAAATCAAAGGCTAAGTCCTGCTTGTTCAACGTTGTTTATGTTACAGGTTTTACTAGAATTATGACCTTGAAATCAGCCAAGGAAATCTGGGATTTTCTCAAGACGGAGTACGAAGGCAATGAGAAGATCAAAGGGATGCGTGAGCTGAATCTGATCAGGGAATATGAAATGCAAAGAATGAAGGAATCAGATACTATCAAAGAATACTCTGATAGACTTCTGAGCATTGTAAATCATGTAAGATTGCTTGGCAAATAGTTTTTTGATTCTAGGATTGTTCAAAAGATTTTGGTTACTATTCCAAAAAGATTTGAATCCACGATTTCTTCATTGGAAAACTCTAAGAATGTGTCAAGCATTACATTGGCAGAATTATTAAATGATTTGCAAGCTCAAGAGCAAAGAAGGCTGATGAGACTTGAAGGCACCGTTGAAGGAGCTCTTGCTGCAAAGTTGCACATCAACCACAATAATAAGGGGAAGAAGAGAAATGGAAAGAAGAGTGTAGACGATCAAGCTTACAGCAAGACTATTCATCATGTCAACACTGTGGAAAGAAGGGTCACCCACCTCACAAATGTTGGAGGAGGCCAGATGTTAGATGCAACAAGTGCAAACTCTTGGGACACATTGCAAAGATATACAAGTCCAAAGAGAAATATCACCAAAGTGAGGCTCAGGTTGTCGAGCAAAAGGAGGATCAACTATTTGTTGCCTCTTGTTTTGTGACTAGCATTGCAAATGAGAGTTGGCTGATTGATAGCGGCTGCACCAATCATATGACACATGATATTGAGCTTTTCAAAGAGCTTAATAAGGCGGTTGTGTCACAGGTCAGAATTGGAAATGGAGATTTCATTACTATCAAAGGAAAAGGTACTATTGCCATTGAAAGTAGTCTTGGTACTAAGTTAATTCAAGTTGTTCTTTATGTTCCTGAAATTAATCAGAACATGATAAGTGTGGGTCAGCTGCTTGAAAAGGCTACAAAGTTGTGTTTGAAGACAGGATATGTTCGATAAAAGATTCAAGTGAGTCTGACATGTTCAAGGTCAATATGAAGGGAAAAGCTTCTCTTTAAATATGATGGAAACAAAGCAGGCTGCTATGATGAGTTCGATTACTACAACTGAGCTTTGGCACAAGAGGATGGGGAATTTCAACCACGCTGCTCTATTGTATATGAGGAGAAAGAATATTGCAAGAGGAATTCCTCCTCTGGATGATCACTTAATAAGTTGTAAAGCATGTAGATTTGGAAAGCAAACTAGGCTCCCGTTTTCGAATGCAACGACCAGGGCTAGAACAAAGCTACAACTAATACATACGGATATTGGAGGGGCTATACCTGAATTATCTTTAAAGGGAAGTAAATATTATATTCTCTTTATTGACGATTTTAGTAGAATATGATGGATTTATTTCTTGAAATTCAAGTCTAAAGTGGAAGGAGTTTTTTGGAAATTTAAAGCTTGGGTTGAGAACCAAAGTGGCTACAAAATTCAGGTATAAGATCTGATAATGGCAAGGAATACACCTCAGAACAGTTCAATATGTTTTGCGAAGATGCTGGAATTGAACACCAACTCACTGCTTCGTATACTCCGTAACAAAATGGAGTGAGTGAGAGGAAGACCATAACTGTAATGGAGATGTTACGGTGTATGCTACATGAGAAAGGGTTGCCAAAGAAGTTTTGGGCAGAAGCTGCTAATACAGCTGTGTTCATGTTGAATAGGCTTCCCACGAAGGCAGTGCAAGGGAAAACTCCATTTCAAGCATGGTATGGTTATAAACCTTTTATCCAGAATCTTAAAGTTTTTGGTTGTGTTTTTTTCACTTATGTACCTAGTGTGAAACGAAATAAATTGGATAAAAAGGCAAATTCTGGAATTTTTATTGGTTATAGCACAACTTCAAAGGCTTATAGAGTCTACCAGCCCGAAACTGGTAATATTCTAATAAGTCGAGATGTTCATTTTGTTGAAGATCAACAGTGGAATTGGAAGATGAAGAAGTGAATCTAGTTCCTAATACTGAATCCTTTGAGGATGAGAATATTGATGATCCTCTAGTTAGGGGAACTAAATTACTTTCTGACATCTATGAAAGGTGTAATGTTGGTGTTTTAGAACCGACATATTTTTATATAGCTAAGGATGATCCAAGATGGATATCAACAATACAATAGGAGCTCCGTATGATTGAAGGGGATCAAACATGGGAGTTGGTTCCTAGGCCTTGTCACAAGAAGGTCATCGGAGTAAAGTGGGTGTTTAGAACCAAGTTAAATGCATATGGTTCTATTAACAAACACAAAGCCAGACTTGTAGTGAAAGGATTTGATCAAGTGTTGGAGTAGATTTTTTAGAGACTTTTTCTCATATTGCTTGACTTGATATAGTCAGATTGCTTATTGTATTGGCCGCACAAAAGGGATGGAAGGTATTTCAACTAGATGTGAAATCTGCTTTTCTTAATGGATATTTTCAGGAGGAAATTTACATTGAGCATCCTGAAGGTTTTATGGTGGATGGAGAGGAGAATAAGGTGTACTTGCTTAAAAAGGCCTGTACGGCTTAAAGCAGGCTCCACAGGCATGGTACGATAGAATCGATAAGCATCTCCTTAGTCTTGGTTTCGAAAAAAGTCCAAGTGAGCCAACACTCTATGTCAAGCATTCAAATGTTGATATTTTAATCATTTCCGTTTATGTAGATGATATCTTAGTGACTGTAAATAATGATGTGTTGGTTCGAAACTTTAAGGAAGAAATGATGAAAGTATTTAAAATGACAGACTTGGGAACCATGGCATATTTTCTTGGGATGGAGGTAAGACAAGATCATCAAGAAGTCTTTATTTGTCAAAGAAAGTATGCTAAAGAGATCTTGAAGAAGTTTCACATGGAGAATTGCAAGTCAGTAAGTACTCCAATGAATCAAAAAGAGAGACTTTGCAAAGAAGATGGTGCAAAAAAGGAACAAGACCTGACATTTTGCATGTTGTAAGTGTCCTCGCCAGATTCTCCCAAATTGGTAGTGAAGAAAATTTTATTGCTGCTAAACGACTACTGAGATATGTCAAAGGAACTATTGACTATGGTGTCATGTTCAAACATGGTCAAGAATTCAATTTTCATGGATTCTCTGATAGTGATTGGGGAGGATCCTTAGATGACATGAAAAGCACTTTAGGATATTGTTTCACGATTGGTTCAGGAATGTTCTCTTGGAGTTCAAAGAAGCAAGATATAGTGGCTTAATCCACTGCTGAAGCGGAGTTTATAGCTGTTACATCAGCTGTAAATCAAGCCTTATGGTTGAGGAAGATTTTGAATTATTTATGCTTGGAGAAAATGAGGAGCACATAAGTGTTTGTGGATAACCAAGCTGTCATTGCAATCTCCAAATAATCCAATCTTTCATGAAAAGAGCAAACACTTCAACATTAAACTTTATTTTCTTAGAGAAGTCCAGAAGAATGGTGAAGTTTCTTTGCTCTACTGCAGCACAAAAGACCAGCTGGCTGATATATTTACTAAGGATCTTCCAATGAGAAGGTTTGAATCATTGAGAAAAGCTTTAGGAGTTTGCAGCTACTGATTTAAGGAGGAGTATTGGAAATGTCCCTAGTGGCTGCAACTTATCCTAGTTTTTAGGAGTTTGTTATGCATTTTACTTAATCAAGTTTAGTTGATGTTTTTAGCTAAGTAGTTTCCATGTTTTATGTTAGTGGTAGTACATGAAAACATGGGTAGAAGTTTCAGCTTATTAGTTATTTGTGATGTATTTAAACATGTTTTTACTTGAATGAAAATTATGTCTTTCATCTCTTTCTCTTTTTACTACAAAGACCAACAACCCATACCCTATAACGTGGGACACTAAAAGTGGGATAACTTCCATTTACCACATTGCATGCGGTTGGCATAATGCACGAACCAACATGCAGTTAACACATTCTCCTACTTGGTTCGTGAAGCCTATGAGTACTTAAATTCAAAACTAATGCATGAATCATAGCGATATTTCTTCTTAAAATTGAGTTATATCTTCTATGTATCACAATGTATCATATCTCAATACTTAGCCAAATTTCTTAATGAATAAACCCAATGTTTATTCTTAGCCCAAACTTTAGTGATATTTCTCGAAAAATTAAAATTAATGTGCACACAACAAAATGAGAAACAACAAACTTAATAGAGTTCAATAAAATCATTCATACAACGAAAAATTATAAAGTGGAAACAAGTCACATAGTGACAACATGATCCTTAAATTTATATGGTGGCATGCCTTTAGTTAAAGGATCATCTAACATATGCTCAGTGTTAATACACTCAATGACCATTTTTTTAACACGTTCCCTTATAGCTATATATTTAATACCAATGTGTTTACTTTGAATTATACTCTTGTTATTCTTAGCCATAAAGATAACAGCAGAATTATCACGATATATCAGTAATGACCTAGAAACCGAGTCCACAAGTCTAAGCTCATAAATGAAACTCCTTAGTCATACTCTATGTGGGGTAGACTCAAAATACAAAACGAACTCAGCCTCTATAGTGGAAGTAGTAATTAAGGTTTTCTTGACGCTTCCACAAGATATAGCTCCACTGGAAAACATAAATATGTATCCTGATGTTGATTTACGTGAATCAACACAGCCAGTAAAGTCTGAATTGGAGTAGCCAGTAACCTCCAAACTATCTGATCGTTTGTACATAAGCATATAGTCATTTGTCCATTTCAGGTACCTTAAAACTTTCTTTGTAGCTTTCATTTGGTCAATACCTGGATTGTTCTGATATTTTCCCAACATTCCAACAACAAATGCAATGTCAGTTCTTGTACAAACTTGAGCATACATCAAGCTTCCAACAACAAAATCATACGTAATATCTTTCATTTTTCCTCTCAAAATCGTTCTTCGGGCATTGGTTCAAATGGAACTTATATCCCTTCACGATAGGAGCAACACTAGGTGAACAATCTTTTATTCGAAATCTTTCTAAAATTTTGTTGATATAGGTTTCTTGAGATAGACCTAAGATACCTCGATGTCTATCACTATGAATCTTAATGCCAATGGCATAAGATGTATCACCCATATATTTCATATCAAAATTTTTAGAAAGAAATTGGTTCACCTCATGTAGCATACCCCTATCATTTGTTGCAAGTAAAATGTCATCCACATATAGGATAAGGAAACAAATTTTTTCTCCCACTGGCTTTCTTTTATATCCAATGGTCCATGATGTTCTTAACAAAACCAAATGAAAATATAACTTCACAGAATTTTAAATACCACTGTCGGGAGGCTTGTTTTAGTTCATATATTGACTTTTTTCAACTTTCATACCAAGGGTTCATCATCACTAGAGGAGAATCATTCAGGTTGTTTCATGTATACCTCTTCCTCTAGGTCACCATTGAGAAATGCATCTTTCACATCCATTTGTTGTAACTCAAGGTCAAAATGAACTACTAATGCTAAAACAATGCGTAAGGAATAATTCTTGGATGCTAGACTAAAAGTACCAGTGTAATCGATTCCTTCACATTGAGTTAATCTCTTTCCAACGAGTCTTGCTTTATATCTTTCATTGTTGCCCATTGAGTCTTTTTTTTAAAGATCCATTTACATTCAATGGTTTTACACCATCGGGAAATGGTACAAGATCCCAAACATTGTTACTTTTCATGGAATTCATCCTATCTTCCATAATATTGTGCCATAATTTCGATTCATTGCAACTCATTGCTTGTGAAAATGACTCAGGATCAATTTCAACTCCACATTAAAGTCAGACTCTTGTAGATACACAATGTAGTCACTAGAAATTGTTGATTTCCTTTCTCTAGTAGATCTCCTTAATGTTGAATCAACATTTTCTTATGGATCATGTTGTTCAAATGGTTGTTCGATAATTTCTGGAATTTCTTGAACAATTTTATCTACTTAAATATTTCAGTGGCTTGTGGAATTTCATTGATTAGTTGTTCAACATCTGGTTGTACTTGAGGGGTATTTTGTACGATAATCAATCTCTCACTTGAAGTGGAAAATTGATTTACATGAACTTAGTCCTGAGGTAGATCACTCCCACTGATTGGGTCATACTCGATAAATTTTACATTTCTTGATTCCACAATTCTAGTGTTATGTGATGGAAAATAGAATTTGTATCCTTTAGACCTTTAGACGTATCCACTGAAATACCCACTAATGGTCCTTGGATATAGTTTTTTTTCTTATGGGTAATAAATTCTCACTTCATATAGGGATCCTCATATGCGTATATGTCGCAAACTTGGTTACCAATCTTTAAATAACTCAAAAGGTTTCTTTGGGACCGCCTTAGTTAGAACTCGATTTAACATATACAAAACCATTTTAAGATCTTTAACCCATAAATACTTAGGTAGGTTAGAGTTACTAAGCATACTTTGCACCATATCCATTAAAGTTCAGTTTCTTCTTTTCGAAACACTATTTTGATCAGGTGATCCTGGCATGGTGTTTTGGGAAACTATATTGTGATCTTTCAAAAACTTCATAAATGGACCAAATGCTTGTCCATCTTCGGTATATGTACAATAATACTCACCACCTCTATCAGTTCTCAGGATCGTAATTTGCTTATTGCATTGTTTCTCTATTTCAGGTTTGAAAACCTTAAAGGCTTCTAATGATTCGCCCTTATGATGAAGCATGTAGAGATACATGTATCTTAAGTAATCATCAATAAAAGTGATGAATTATTTTTTAACTTTTACATCCATATCAGGACAACATATATTAGAATGGATGATTTTCGATATGGTTGAACTCCTCTTGGCCCCTTTCTTTGACTTGTTAGTTTTCTTACCCTTAATGGAGTCTATACAAGTGTCAAAATCAGAAAAATCTAAGGTACTAAGTACCCCATCTTTTATTAATATCTTTATCCTGTCAATAGAGATGTGTCTTAATCTCCGGTGCCATAAAATATAAGAACATTTATTTATAACACAACATTTAGAACCAGTTTGAATGTGCATAACATTATGAATGACATTTCCAATAATTTCTGATTTATAAAATAAATTGAATTCATTGTTTGAAAAAAATTAAAAAAAAATAACTCAATGGTGCAAGTATTGAAATAGAAATTAAATTTCTATAAAAATTTGAAATATAAAAAGCCTTTTCTAAAATTAAAACAAAGCCACTACTAAGCACTAATTCTCAGGACCCAATAGTTTCCACATGCGATTGCATCTTATTTCCTGAATAGATGTATCGCTCATCTCCAACTGGTTCCTTCAGGTTTCTTAATCCCTGTAAGGAATTTGAGACATGGATTGTAGAACTAGAATCAATCCACCATGCGTTATAATTAACATCAACCATATTTGACTCAAAGTAAATGAGTAAGATTGATTTACCTTTCTTCTCAAGATAGCCCTTGAACTTGACACAATCATTTTTTAGACGTCCATTCTTTTTACCAAAAAAAAACATTTGGACTCTTTCTTAATGTCAAATTGAGGTTGAATATTAACCTTCCCATTTGGCTTGCCTTGGACTGATTTCTTTCCCTGAGTAATTGTCAGTTGACTCTCTCCCATCAAGCCTCCTCCTAATTACACATGGTCAAAAGTTCATCGATAGATCATTTATCCTTATGTGCATTATAGGACATCTTAAATTGCCTATACTGAGGCGCAAGAGTGTTCAATATAAAATGCACCAGGAAAGAGCAGACATTTCAACCTCCAATGCTCTAAGTCGAGATGATAAATCTCATATCTTATTGATGTGATCACGTACACATTTCACTGTAGTGAGCCTTATGGATGTGAACCTCATAATTAGGGTGCTAGTCAAGGATTTTTTAGAAGTTCCGAATTGCTTTTCAATAGCCATTAATAGTTCTGGTACATTCTCATAATGCTCAATTGAGCCACGAACATCAGCAAGAACCTTGCTCTTGATGAACATAATGCTGAGATGATTAGATCACTCCCACATTTCATATAGAGCAAGATCAACTTGAGTGTTGTTTTCAGTGATATGTGGCTCAGATTTCCTTATGCCATAGTCAATATCCAAACACCCCAATTGAAGAAAAATACTTTCCTTCCATATCTTAAAGTTCTCATTGATTAATTCAGGGATATCTACTGTATTATCAAACATATTCACGTGTTGTAAAACTGCAAGAAATAATGAACATTCATGCTTAATAAAAAATTTGAGGCAAACATAAATTAGAATTTACTAATACAACTTATGTAAACAATGAATATAGTGACATAAAAATTGTATGTGGGCTAAATTTTTAATTGGATTAGATCAATTTTATGATAGAATTAATTTTTATCCCCTTTGATAAAATTGTTATATTCACTTTCATAATTCTTGTGGGTAACTATGCAATGGATCTAATAATTTTATCTTAGTAAATTACTTAATAGGATTTAATACCTAAGCTTTATTTATGTGATTTTTAACTTTAGTAATTTTTTTTAACTAAAGATGTTGTGGCTAGTCTTTAACTAAATAAAATTATGTAAATCACTTAGCCAAATATTAATCTTAATTTTTATTCAAATTTGTTGCTAATTCATCATGCAACATTTTATATCTTTAGTCTTAATGAGATCATTACCATAATAAATCATTTTAATTAATTAAAATTGTTGTGGCTAATTCTCTAATTAAATAAAATTATTTAGATCTATAGACATATCATATAAGGTTTTATTGCTAAATACTTTATGCAATAACACTAAAGTTTCATGCACATAAAATGTATGTTAATAATGATATAATTCACATACATTCAATCATAATTTAGGCACATAAAAATCATACAATGTTTTTAATTTTTTTTCATAAATTATTACAAACAAAATTAATTTTAGAAATCACCATTTATAAAATCCAATGATTTTGCAACAAGTTTGCAACACAAAATATCAAAATTTTAAAATCAAAATAGACATTCATCATATTTTGAGAATTTCACAACTTTAAACGACAAGGCAGAGATTTAACCATGTTCATGATACCAAATGTTAGACATGTTTTTATACATTGAGCATAGTCGCAGCGGAAAAAAGATCGATATAAATACCTCCAGCAATTGTCTACACCTTAAGTCGAAATCTGAAATTTGATTGCACCACCTTCAAATAAGTCGAACCACCATTAATCATCGTCAACCACCACGAACCATCATCGAGCACTTTGAACTTAGATGCACAAACGCTAGAATACCCAAGGATATTCCAAGCAATCAAAACCTCACTAGATGGTTTATTGCTTTCCAACTCTCTGAATATGAAAATGCTTTAGAATAATTTGTTTTTAGTGGTTAGGAACCTTGGCTACATGGGTATTTATAGGTGTGATTCATCGTCAAAAACCACCTAAAACCAACCGCCCATACCCTATAACGTGGGACACTAAAAGTGGATAACTCCGACTTACCACATTGCATGCGATTGACATAATGCACGAACCAACGTGCAGTTAACATTTTTCATTCAAAAATGGAGCTGGACTGAACCATTGGAGATTTGAATGGTTTAAAATACAATTTTACCATATACAAACCGACAAAGCCATGGTATTATCCAAAGCTTCATCTGACCAGTTCTTGGGTTTGCAAAGTTGATAGGCTTCATAAGTCACAGATTTCATTTAACCATTACTTCTAATTTTTTTAATAGTATAAGATTATTTTAAAGTAATATTTGTTTAAAATTTTTCTTAATCATTGATAATGCGTACACGTGCAGACGCAGCTGCTTGAATCTAAGACCTTAAGGGAGGACAACACTCTTTTTAACAATTGAAGTCACTCATGAGTTCTCCTTTTAAATGAATGCATAATGCTAAAATAACCCCAACAT